GTAGCCCAAATGCTGTTGTCCTTTTGAGCTTTCCACCAGAGTTTGATGGAGTAGGCTTTATGCAAATCCTTGAGGTTCCTCAGCCCCAGACCTCCCTCATCTTTAGGGGTGCAAATTGACTCCCAATTCTTCCAATGGTGTTTAGGTTTGCCATTGGAATAACCCCAAAGAAAGTTGGACATGACTCTATGAAGATGATTCATGACAGAGATAGGTAAACTGTGGACAGCTAAGTAGTGTAAGGGGATAGATGAAAGGACATGTTTAATGAGTATAAGTCTGCCCATAGGATTTAGTATTTTACTGTACCAAGAGTTGATATGTCTGTCGAAGTGTTCCAGTATGTCCTGACAGTGATTTTGTTTGAGTTTGCCCTTGCAGATTGGGACTCCCAGGTATTTAAAGGGCAAACTGTCATGGGACATGCCATTGGCAATCTCCATCCTAAAAATTTGATTGTGCTTAGCCTTTTTCCCTGCATAGAACTTGGACTTGCTGTAGTTAATTTCTTGCCCTGAGCCCTCTGTATACTCCTTAAGGATGACATTGAATTTGAGGAAGTTTCTAACTCCTCCCTTTAAGAAGATAATTATATCATCTGCATAGGCTAGATGACTGACTAGGAGACTTCTACCAGTGTTGAACCTCTTAATGTATTTACTCTCCATGTTGGTCTTGATCATCCTTAAGAACACCTCGCTAGCAATAATGAAAAGGAGTGGGGATAGTGGGTCCCCCTGCTTTACTCCTATTCCATTTTGAAAAAACCTGTTGGACATCCATTAATTAGGATTGAAATATGGGTGCCGATTAGGTTTGCAAGTAACAAGTCCTGAACAGACTGAGAGAAGCCAAATCTTTTTAAAACCCCCTTTAAAAAGCTCCATTTGATTTTATCAAATGCCTTAGCCATGTCTAACTTGATGATAGCATTGCCACTGTCACAATGTTTGTCTAGACTGTGAACCATTTCACAAGTCATTAGGATATGATCATCCACACCCATTCCCTTTTGGAACCCAGCTGGCTC